CTCACGTGCTTCTCGTCGACGTCTTTCTCCTAGCTGCAACGCTCGGGGACACTTCGGCCAAGACACGGAGGAGACTTTTGCCCGTATACATCGATTTTCGTGTCCCCTCGCGCCCCCGCGTGCCAACCACGTCGGTAGTTAATCCTATCAAGAGCACCTTCGATTTGCGGAACGAACATTGAATTCTGCCGCGGCAATATAAGTGGATAAAGCAAGAGAGAGAGAGAAAGAAAGAAAGAGAGAGAGAGAGAGAGAGAGAAAGAAAAAAAGCAAAGATATATACTTGGGATTTGATAATCGTAATTGCCGATAGTCCGAGCACGTCGGGGACATTTTTCATCATTTCCTCACTCCGTTACTTTATACTTACACTTTCCTGTCACTGATAACGGAATATTGAGAAACTTATTTATAGCCTAGAAGAAGAAGGGTTGATAGGGTCTGTTCAATCGCTCGTGAGGGATAGAAAGTTTATATATGTAAACACGGTAAAACTCGACAACTTAGCTGCACGCGGAAACCTGTTAATTCCTTTTTTGTTTATTGATCTAATTGTCGAATTAAATAGTTAAACTCGTGCGGAAATGCAGTTTTCAGCAAGACTCTTTCGAAAAGACTCTTCTTCGCTTTTGCAAAGTATTTGCAAGAAATCTGAGATTGCGATGTCTCACAATTACCTTCCTATACGTTTTTATTCATGATTCGGGTTAGGAAATGTCTCTCATATTTTACGGGCAAGCTCGTAACTTATTGCCCTCGGATTAAGTGCACTTCGTAACGGTAAGTGCCGTTACGTTACACCGACCTTATTATTATTTTACGTGCATCCCCCTTCCCTCACCGACCAGGCGCAGTTTGAGGACGTCACGGAATGTTCGTTCGCAGACTCACGAGCCTGCAGGAAGAATGCGACGTTAAGCGTTGAGCGACTAGCGAAATTAGCGGAGCCTCGCGATTATCATCGCGTAATTCCGCGGCGAAGATACTCGTCCCTGTGTATATCACGGCACCATTGGGTACTTTGTGCCGCGAGACATGCCGATAAATATTTCAGCCGCCAGTTATCCGCCGCCTACAATATTAACAGTTCTGTCAGTGCGAGGTCCGATTAAGCCGAAGCGCAAATAGCGTTTTAATATTTCACGCGCTCGGCGCGTTAACAACAACATCAGTGGCCACGAGAAGGCAGTGGCTATTTAGTGAACGGTCGGCAGTAAGAAATATTCATTTGAAATCAAAACCTAGATTGCACCGCCGTGAATATCCGCCGGGATGGCTGTGCGACGGTACACGGAATTCGCGCTGGATTCCAGTGCAGAATTCCGGGATAAACTATGGTGCCGCGCTTTTTTGGCGCCTTTCACGTTTCGCGCGCTTCGACGACGCGGCACGTCGAGCCGTGAGAAGCGTCGCGTATATAATTGCCGCAATAAGTGCACTGACGTTTACAAATGGATATACGAGACCTTCGAGAGGCGCTGTCCTCGTTCCATGATTAATTCAACTTGACAAAAACTCGCCAACTACACGGCCAGCCATCTCTCTGGCGCTCGCGCGACATTTAAATTTTCACTGGCAGATAACGCGCGACGATTATCGCGCGTCAAAGTAAACTCTGCTGTCAAGGTGGAGGTCTAATTGTTTCGTCGCAACAAGCTTCTCGGGTATTCATTGGCCGTGGAATCAATCTTGCCAGGTGCAATTTAATCCTATTCCTTAACACCCTCGTCGCCATGATTTATTCAGAGAACTCTTCCCATAAACTATCTCATATTCTTTTCTACGTAATTGATAAAATTACGACTTAGATTGATAATGTATACATGGAAAATATATTTTTTACCGTCACACTGAGAAAAGCTATTTGAAAATTTACTTGTGAGATATAAAGTCTGTTTCTGTGAAATTGAATTTATTTCTGTGAATAAACTTTATATTTTACAAATAAATTTCCAAAAGTTTTCCTCGCAGTGCGTTAATGTGCGGCTCTGAGCACACTGATATTTTCTGTATAAAAAAAAAGTAAAATAAAAAATATACATGCCTCGAGATGTATCTCCTAATGTCTACGTATTTTACATAATGGCTGCGTGTTTTACATAATTCCATTATCAGAAATCGCATACGACGGTTATCGCGAACGCCGGGTAGGACGCATGGAAACTTTCGGTATCATAAATCATACCCAAATACTCGAAATATGCAGGGTTGCCGATGGGGCAGTTCGAAACGGATTTTATCGAATCACCTCCAATACACGGCGGGCACACGCGAATGTTTCCAGACTTTCGGACTTTTTGCCTATAATATTCACATTTCGCGATACGTACACTTATCTTCCGATATTATGACGAATAAAATATCGAATATTACACATTGATTTTTGTAACAGATAGAGAGAGAGAGAGAGAGAGAGAGAGAGAGAGAGAGAAGAAGAAGAGAGAAAGAGAGAGAAAGCGCGCGGTTTTATCGTCGAGCACGGCCGAATAAATTCAGCGTGACATTTTTTCTTTTTTTTTTACCAAAAACATTTATAAGCACGCCTCTATATTCTCTATTCTTTTCCTCTCGTTTTTGTCGCTGCCACCGAATGCGATGTCACTGATTGCTCGTAGTCCCGTCGTATTATCGGAAAAATTACTCCTCTCGAGACGCGAGCACTCGTCGCGCGAAACGGCCGTGACAAGAAAATATAGGTGTAGGTTTATGTATCCACATAAAGTACAAGCTAATCGATATTTATCGATCGGCTTGGCAAAGGCGACCAAAGGACACGCTAACAAGAATCCTTCGACACTCGTAATCAGTCCCCGATAAACCTACGTGCATGCGTTTTTCTTTCCTGTTTTTCCTCTCCCCGATGCGGCCGCTGATTAAGCAAAATGGAAAATACCATATCCGGGACTCTAAGAGAAGAATATCGTCCGGCATGAGTTTAAAACTCGTCCCATTATATATACTTGCCAGTTTACAATTTTGTCGCGAATTAAATGTTCCTCGCGCGCGCAGTGAGACGCACTCACTTCCGAGACGAAAGGATCGTTCCAGCGCCTTGATAATCGCCGTTTTGCTCCCGACTTTATCAGTGAATCTGCGAATAAATTACAAAAGTGCCCCGATCGCGATCCGACGCCGACGCGACGCGGCGCGCCCGGCTCTATACACAATGTGTCTGATGGCCACGATCAGACGTATGCAAATCGCGACGTATCTGTCGGGGTGACTCCGCGTAATAAACGATGACGGACGGCACGCCGCGACAATCGAGCCGCGCCAGCGCCGATTATCGCTCGCGGCATTTCGTCAGTTCTGCCGATCGGTCGATCGTAGGTCAGGGCCACCTGCTTCGCAGGACGGGCAGGGGATGGAGAAGTAAAAACAAAAGCGGGAAAAAGGATCCGATAACACGAGCCTCCTGTCCGCAGGACGATCGCGCGACGCCCATATTTTTGCCGGCGATTCTCTCTGTTTCGTTTTCCCTTTTTCCCTCTCTTTTTTCACTTGAAACCCGCGCGTGGCTTGTCACTCACGACCTCGATGCCACCTGGTCGAATGGGATACAGCGATCGGGGGGTTCGTTTGCATTCAGGACTTGCTGCGACCGCACGAAGCTGCGACCGCACGAAGCAGATTGTCGTCGGATCGTCTTTATCCTCGTCGCGCTAAATCGCCTCTGCCGTGCGACAAATATTTAGTTTGTTTGTGCAATATCCTCTGGTTACTCGATGCTGACGCGGCGTTTCCCGCCGAGCTTCCAGGAGGCGAATCGGGACGTCCGCGAGGACGACTTCGCTTCTCGTATCTTGTCTGTTCCGTCGTAAGACGAACTCGATTACGGACTGTCACATTATATCGGTAGCCTGTTTATATTTTATGACGTGACGTGCAGGACAACGTATATATGGCCGGAATATACGCGACAACACGACCAGCTGCTCAGTGTGCGACACGAACCGGAAACTCGATCGCGAGCGCAGCTCGTTGGTGAGCTCGACACTTATTAAGCTCTCTTGGTTGAACATTATGCGCGTTTCCAATGTCTAGCTGCTGTTGTATGCTTGAAATAGTTGAAAATTTAATTTCGAGTCAGTCTCTGCTCTCCTATTCTAACGCTTAATACTCTTCAAATTTTTTTGACTAAAATTCCACTCGAAAAGCACAGTGACAATGGATTCATTCGAATGATTTCTCATTCTTACAGAGAGAATTCTCCACTCTGATTTGTCGAGCGAATATTTTCACTCGAAACTGAAGAGCGAATCTGTCGTATTCCACCGTCAGAGGAACATATTCACTCCAATCGATCGAAACATTCGCTCGTACGGAGTCAAAATCCACTTCAATCTTGAGTGAAACGTTCACTTTTGTGGTTTCGAGTGGCGGTATTTTTACGATCGCCTCGAGTGAAAATACTGCTACTTTTTACTGATTCTGAGAATTTATTTCAAGAAATTTTGAGAACACGCATTCGACCAACGGAAAGATGAGAGTTATCTTTGTTAATTATGTGTGTCCAATGATAATATCGCATTTACGAAGCAATATTCAATGACAGAGTATGTACTTGCTAAAGAACAATTTACGAGGTAACGTTCGATCATCTGTTTTCGTTTTCAAACGAGAGTCCTAATTCTTCGCCGAGATTCGTGATGAAATTACGAAGTTGTGTAATTTGGGTTGGATTGTCGGAGGGATTTCTCTCCTCTTAGCCTTAAATTAGAGACTTGCGTTAATTAAGCTACGCGGATTTACCAGGAAACGATAGCAACGTAGAGAGTTTCAGAATTGAACCGTAACTCTCTCAGAATTCTGAATCTCTCTCTTGAAATTGAAGAACATAAACGCAAGGTCCGTGTTATCCACCGTCTCCAAATAATCAGGATCACGTCCACCTTGAGCATCGCCGACGTGCGGACGAAATTCGCCAGTTGGCGTGATCGACCAATCAGATTTGCCCCGTGGAATGCACGGCAACAAGTAACCAAGTGATAGCCTCTCACCTCCGCGCGCTCTCCACCCGGAGGACAGAGCCGAAGTAGGCCAGTGGAACTCCGAAACTTCAGCCCTTAATGCTCCACGCGGACACACGAACGCGAGTCCTTACTTCCATCTTCCGTGCACGCATCGAGCACGGCGGCAAGTTTCACGAACGGCACGCGACGGCACTGTCACCTCACGGCGCGACGACCGACGGCCGTGGACGACGGACGCTTCGCGGGGTTGGCACATCGATGATGATTCCCGACGAGACCGACCGGTACTGGGGCCTCGTCGAGACGAGTAGTAGAAAACAGAGTTCAAGAGAGATCTCGGATCATCACACCAGCCCGTTGCACAAGCGTCCACGAGCAGTTGCACACCCGTGGATCGTCCTCTCGATCGACGTCGCGGGATCCCGCGCACACACTTCGATCGATTCGATCGTCCTAGACCGTAATCTACATCGAGCGACGGGCGCACGCGATCGTCCTTGATGATAAGTCCACGAGTCGACTCGATGGCGTCCAGCACGTTGCGAGATCGTACGAAGAGGATAACCTTGTCGAAGTCGTTAAATCGTAGGACAACTGCGACCCTCCGAGGTATTTCCGCGGCAGCGGGACTTTCTCTCGGCTGAGCTCGGGTTTCTCCTCCGGCTGGATCGTCCGTTTTCACTTGCGCTGCACCTGTCTTCGCACCCACGCCGCGTTCACACTTATTCGCGCGAAACACGTCTCGGAAAAGCTTCACACGAGGGAGGGAGAGAAAGAGAGAGAGAGAGAAAAGGTGAAAGTCACGTGCGTCCCGAATCAAGATCGACGTTCTCGATCCGCGATCGACGATCAAGCCGGAGTCGCGAGCCGGCCGGACTTCCCGGTCCGAACTAATGAACGTCTCCTCAGCCCGTCGCTCACGTCAACACGCTCTGTTTCGAGGCGAATCGCCCGACGAACACGCGGCGAGGATTCAAGTGAGCGCCGTGAGCGTCGCGACGCCGTGCACCATCGTCGTCGTCAACCCCGTTCCGACGGACGCGTGCGCAGGAGCGTTCGGCACCCTTCGATGCCTGTGCAGGGGGATGAATCGTTTCTCATGGAGTTATTATCAATTCACCTACTTTCCCCCCGCGCGCGACCACGGACGGCTCGCGCGGCGCCGCTAAAATATTTCAATTAACAATGAGTAGCTCGATCGCGACACGCGCAACGCGGGGCCGGGGGTTGTTTTACGATGTTTGTCAATTCGATGCAACATGTACCGACACTGTAAGTATGTGGAAACGTGCGGATATGTATATACAGGATGTTCTCACTGTATCCACTATATTTTTACAAGTTACGATAATCGGACAGGAAGAAATTCTAGATGCAATTAATCAGTTTTTAAACGGCAAAACAGAGTGCAATAGTAGAAATTTCGAAAACGTTCCTTTTTCGTAAAAGAATCAATCATCTTCCTTAATTTTTTTTAAAGAGAACCATATCTTTTTCTTATCCGTAGTGTTATCTTGATTATTATTAAAAAAAAAAAGAACGCAGTAAAATAATAACGAAGAACTTCAACAGCGTATATTGTGCTGTAGCACTAGCATGCAGAAACGTAAATCGAAATATCCTAATTGATGCAACCAGTGAAACTCTATTACAAAGGGCCGAGCTTTGTGTTTGCAGAAAATCGATTACATTTCGTACCTGTCTCCCTGATATTGTATTTCAAATTACATTATCCTATCGTCTGTCTATATGTTCACGGTTGAATGTTAGTAAAAATAACATTACGAGTTATTATTGAATTCGCATGTTGATCCTTTTTACAATACTACGGATAAAAGAAAATGTAATACCATTCAAAAGAGTGAAAATAAGCTCTTTAACGAAAAAATAACATGTTTAATATTTTTGTCGTTATTTCTTATTGCCGTTTAAAAATTGATTAACTGCATCTAGAACTTCTTTCTGCTCGATCATTATAACTGATGAAGAAATAGTAGATTACGATAAACATTCTGTATGTGCCAATTGTGAGCGTCGCATTTTTGCGGAAAAGCGAACATCGAGAATGTTCGAAATCTCACGAGTTCTTCGCATCTCTTTCGCACGAAATTCAATATTCCTCGGGATATGTCCAGTGTAATATCATTAATATACTATCCCCGATTATCCGGGATTATCCATTATACCGACATTCGATTATCCGGATACGTTCGGCGCGATCAAAAGATTGCATTGCGCGAATTGTCGTTTCGCACGCTGGGAAGCCCAGCTGCAATTTCCTCTTTTTTTCTCCTAAGTAACGAAGAAAATGGAGAACACATCGCACAGAAGGATTTAATATATCGCCCGACGATTACTACCGCGACTTAATGTTCAAGGTTTCACCGAGGTTGGATCGAGGTTTGACAGCTGACCTATAAATAAAACAAAGAGATATATCGATTGCATTAATTATTCGCTGGGAAATATTCCCGTCCCGTTGACAATACACCGTGATGTCTTGTGTTTGTGTGTGTTGTGTGTGTGTGTGTTGTGTGTGTTGTGTTGTGTGTGTGTGTGTGTGTGTGTGTGTGTGTGTGTGTGTGTGTGTGTGGTGTGTGTATGTGTGTGAACATCGTCTGAAATACCTTTCGCTTTATTTTGGCGTCATGTAACGACACGAGATAAATGCAAACGTACATAATTGAAAAGCGTGGCGAGATCGATGCCAATTGATTTAAAAATCGTGTCTTGATGCGGAATTCGGAATTCCCGTTTGACGCGATCGTCGGTGGCAACGTGGGGGAGGGGAGTTGCTAAGCTATTAATTCGGCGGTATGTATACCTGCGAGACGGATTTTTCTCCAAGCCACAGGTGCCGTGCATCTTCTCCAACGCTGGCAACAAATTGGCGATGGCTGCTGCGGCGATGTAAAAGTTGTTCATCGCGGCGCGGAAACAGTGAGAACGGTCGGCCGGGCGACTGTTCGCAACAACGATTCGTAAATTTCGCAGCATAAAGTTATTATCAGGTCATAGAGCGAGTTTCTTTATTAAAACGCCGGTGCAATAACCGGCGAGATGCGTTGCCGTGCGAAATTGCACGTTCCTCCACGCAGAGCCGCGTCACCCTCGCCGAATTATGCGGCGTGCTGACCTACTGACTAATCCGATGCCGGCACTCCGCAGTTTGTCAAAGGCGAGTTTGCGCCGGGGGACTCCCGTTACAGATGAGCTAAGCTGGAAACCAAGTTCACGAATGCGAAGCGGAAGAACAACGGGAGAGCGAACGAGCGATTAGATAAGACTGCTGAAACTATCGTTAAAACAGATCAATCAGAATTTCACACTTTGTCCTTGCCTAACTACTGCATTTCCCAATTAATACTCACGCCCCTAATGAGATTCTCGATTATAACTATGTATGTCATTAGCGCCCGATTATCTTATTGATCTTAGCAACTGCGTTACGTTATTTTTATTGATTTCTGGTGATTTTATTTAAGTATCGACGGGACAGCGCGGCGCCTTGTGTGGAAGATATTAGAAGGACGAGCACAACAGAGAAGAAAGAGAAGGTTTGAGAAAACGACGAGATGAGAGAACAATAAGGCGAAGGTAATGATATTTTTCGCGGCTTTTAAATAAACCGCGTTGTTATTGCCGTGCTCTTTATCGGCCGCCTCGCCGCATGTTTACGATCAGTGGAGTTTGCACGAGCCATATACTTCCTGAACAGGCAAATTTAGTTCGCGGTTAGCTTGTTCTTGTATCGATCCACTTGACGAACGGCTTTGGAAAATGCGTTCCACGTATCCGGTGCAGTCGCAACAACCGTACCTGACAGCGGCCACTGTACACAAAGCTGGCGATGCCCTTTCCTTCGCTTTGATGTGGATGTGCGACAGAGAACTTTAGCCCAAAATTAACCCCATTACCCGAAGTAATGAGTGGAATATCACGACGTCATGAACATCACAAGGTTAATTGAGATGAAGGTACAAGTCGAGGCACCGACTGACAAATTACGTCTTCGTTACTCACTAGCTTAGAATTGGTTATATGTATGTATGTGTGTATGTGTGTGGTCTCCTTTGTACTTAATGTCTGAGAAAATGTATAGAATAACTAGCAGCTAAAGTGGACAAATCTACCTTAGTTGCTAATCGACACTTAGTTGTATCTGTTATCGATATTTCCCACTTGCAACGTATGAAAAATAACGAACGTATGCGTAGAAATCAGATTCTCTCACACGTCATCGAAATGTTCGTTGAGGCCAAATCGAGTTGTCCTTGAGTGGCGATGACTGAACGAACAATCGACGCGCCGGTGCGCTCGCATTAAAGCACGAGAGTGTGTTTCTATTCGACCTATCTGAAACGAGGAGCAACTCTACAGTACCAGACCTACGTCGTTCGTGACGTCACTATACCGTATTCCGTACTTTCCGTGCATCGGAGTTAATTTTGGACCACAGTACTCAATCGCACGATCTTCGTCGATATTGAACGCTTTTCGTGAAACGGGTATGCTCGCGGGGACACGTTAGGCATGTTTCGTGCAGCCTAATGAGCAAAATAGCACATACCATCAAGACAAGCTTGATGCTATTAACGTCCCGATGTATCTTCGCTAATAAAAGACTATCACTATATTGAATTTCAAATATAAATGTCGAGCAAGCAGATACAAAATTAAATAATCGATCGAACAACGGTTTTACGTTGATTATTTTTATTTATATCTCTTGAAAGTAATTTCTACTACTTAACATTATTATATGAATATTATTTGATCCATGTTCGCAATTACAGAAAATTGTTACAGAACATTTCTATATTTTAAATTACGGAAATTTATATTTTGCTTATTTACGTATTTACGTGTTTACGTTAGAATTAATAAAAATTTAGGGCTTGAGCGAGTTCTTGCGCAATTTTCCTTGAACTATGTAAGTTATAAGTTTATAAGTTTTATAATTATAAGTTTTTTTAAGTTGCAGTAATCGACAATGACATCTGACATTTTGGACCCAAGTTCGGAACTAAAAAGAAGGATCTTCACTTCAGTCACCTCGATGATCAATAAACATGTTGCGTCTATTGGAATAGTCTGTTGCGTCTATTAAAACTTGAAATATCTGCATTAATCAACGCTACAATGTTATACAACTCACAAGGTTGGCAGTGGTAAGTCATCAATAATCAGTAATTATATTGACAAGAGCTGAGTATATATAGCTAAAAGTTGAAAATAGCGTTGAAAATTATGAATAGCAACAGTGCCAACACTGGACCTGCAAGAAGTATAGTATACTCAATATAAGAAGTATTGCAAAATACAGTACATGCAAAATAGATGCACCAGGTACTTTCTCGTCTTTACAAATTCCGCTCGTCTTCGAATTCTATCTCTGACGTGACTTGCTTCTCACTAGTGATTCAATTTGCACATCTTCAAGTTCTGCATCCTTTATCGTGCTATTTATTGTATTTCGCTATACACGTCGCTACATTACGCTTCGTATTTTAGCGTTTGCATTCCGTTTGATTCGCTCTATGAACGCGAACACTGCCTCCCGCCGGCGGTGTCTACCAGTAAGGAAGAAAAGGCGCCGGCGTGAGTGGTATACTTGAATGGAGGTAATATCAGGAGTGAATTTTCGGTGAGATCCGCCGGTTTGAAGAGGACAGGTAAAAGCCAGTTCCCGGAATGACGTCGCGACGGAATGAACGGGCCCCGGTGGTGCAACTGAGATGACGTGGCCGACGTGTCGATGAAAGCAGGAAAAAGAAAGGTGGAGGGAAATGTTGGGGCTCTCATCATCCTCCGCTAATATTTACCTTTGCAGACACAAAGACCATCCCCTGGTCACCTAAAGAACCATCTTCCCCTACCTGGGCGCTGATAAAGACTCACAGCAAAGTCGTTTGCATCACACCGTGCTGAAAACCCCGCTCGCTATATCGGCAATATTCCAGCTGTGACTCTTGCGTAATTCACCGGGATCAAAACTTTCCGTTGTTGAATGGGAATGACCACTCATAATGGTATAATTGTGTGTTTTTAGGGTAAGATATAAGGCGGTTCTACAGCGCTTCTTTCGCAGATGCGCCAATATAGGTGACATTGTGACGTGACAGATAGATGTACATTTTAAATTAAGAAAAATAAAAATTGAACAATTATTTCGTGCAAAAATATAGTTTATTTAGTATATACTAGGCTAAATTACACGAATTTGTAATAATATAATAACTTTAACCAAGTTTTTGCGCTTATCTACGTCTTTTTACCATGAGCTTCGGAGACGCCAATATAAGATGCTCACACAACATAAAGTGGACGCTGTTCTAAGTCTGACCGTGTATTACAATAGTGCTGGAGTTTGAAACAATGCAATACATAAAAATTCAATTTATCAGCGACGATATGTACACAGATATCGTGCTTGTCGTCGTGAGTTAGATTTACCAGTAGCACACTCGACTCACTGCATTTTATCTAAGGAAATCAGATACGATCGCATGCGGTATTGAATGCTGCGATTTTAGGTCAACCCGCTTCTCTCTACTTTCTTCTAATATAGCTCATAAAGATCTTTTCGAGGCCGAAAACATAAAAAACAACATACATCCGAAAGCAACCATACTGTTTCTCTTTTCATACGCCAATTTTTCACGTGCCGTCATCTTCTTTATTCTACATAGTTGATATAAAATTTTTTTGTGTAATTGGTAGGATACACACACACTCTCTCTCTCTCTCTCTTATACTTACATATATACTTACTTACTCATTCACTCACTCTCTATTTACCGTAAGAAATATTCACAGGTGTAATGTCTGCCCGATCTAGAACGATCAATTTCTAGACATCATTATGCAGGTAAGTTGCGACACATTTCACGAAACCCCCTTTTCAAAGCATCGAAAATTATCATCGACGTTAATAACCATATTTAAGTACCCGATGAGCGGACAGTATTAGGGCATGAGTTGTTTCATGCAACAATCGCGTTGCACGACAATCGCGTGTTCATTTCGCGAACGGAACGCGAACTACGTTGGTATGTCTGAAGAAGGAAGAGAGAGAGAGAGAGGCTTTCAAACAGTCTCGTTATCGAATTACTGTGCTTCCGCCATCGATGTTGCTGGGGCAAGCAAGCAGGCGGTGTAGAAGGCAGTTTGCAAAGGCCCCGGGGCAAAACTCGCCTTCGTTGGCCTGACTGAATTAGGCCTCGGTCCCGGCTAAATGCTCGACTTTTTATTTCGTCTCTTCCTTCTCGTCCGAGCACGTTCTTCGACCGTCGTCGTCTCTCTGCCAGCCTTGCGGATCTTGATTCGATTTCGCGGCAAAAGAAGACTCGAGGAAGCTCCGCGAGCGCCCCAATCGAGAGCTGATGTTGAGTAATTGGCTACTTTACGAATAGTTGTTAAAATACACTCAGTAAAGTACACTCATCTTGTTACATGCTCATATCTCGTAAAGTGGCGCGCATAAAAACGCATCGTGAGAAAGAGAAAGAGAGCTTTGCGCGCGTTTCCTAGAGTCCCTATATACAGAGTCTGGCCACTGACCGCTCTCATTGGCTGCATTCAATTTTTGTAATAAAATGGCGGTACCAATTAGAAATAGGACAAAAAGGAGGCAAATTTAAACAGAGGAAGGGTATTATAAATGACGGAATACTTATAATCATAAATGTTTAATTATCATAACAGTTTATTAGCATAATAATCATTTATAAACTTAATAACTTAAAAGTCATTAATCTTTTCTATTAATTTTTTATATTCATAATGCTTTCCTTGTAGGATCTGTTGGTAACGATCGTATAGAAAATCCTTTTTGGTAATAATTTTTGCATTCAATATCCTAGATAGCTCATTCGAAAAAAATTCAAAAAGAATTCAGTTGTATGTCATCAATTCTGAATTTATTTTTAGGTGCAAAATGAATTCTTCAGAGTTCAGTTCAGTGAAAACAATTCTTTTTGCACCTAAAAATGAACTCAGAATTGATGACATATAACTAAATTCTTTTTGAATTCTCTGTGCCATCACAGCAGCTCGGCATTTTGACTCCTGCCTATATACATTCATATTTTAATTATTTATAATCATATAATTTATCAATAACCTCTTAAGGTTAAAACTCTAAGTTTCCTCCATTCGTTTGAAATATGTAATGTATATTTTACTATGCATTCATTTAACCCATTAAGGCCCAAGAGAAAACCGCTAAGAATAGGCTTTCAAAAACCATCTAAATTAGAGCAAAACGTCGAAATTTGTTAAAAAGTAAAAACAAAATTTGTGTTGGGTTTCAAAATTCAAAATGGCGGACCAACATGTCGGCCCGAAAATTTGAAATTTTCACCTATTTGAGTGAAAATCCGTATAGGAGGGGTTTTGAGTTCGCTGAGTAGGAATATGCACTTATTTTTTTCAAAATTTTTCAAAACGTACTTTCATTGAAATAAATCAAAATTAAAAATTTTTGGCCGCCATATTAATTTTTAAAGTAAAAAAACCATTTATTTTCTACAATCTGCTAAAGTATGATGTTGCCCCAAAACAAACACCTTCGAAAGGTAGCTTATAATTTGGTTGGATTTTTCGTCAAATAACAAAACTATGTGAAATTTTCGCATTTTTGGGCGGCCATATTGGATCCGCCATTACGAATTTTGAAAAAATAAGTGCATATTCATACTCAGCGAACCCTCTCCCCTCCCTATACGGATTTTCACTCAAATAGGTCAAAATTTCAAATTTTTGGACCGACATATTGGTCCGCCATCTTGAATTTTGAAATCCAACACAAATTTTTTTTCACTTTTTAACAAATTTCGACGTTTTGCCCTAATTTAAATGGTTTTTGAAAGCCTATCCTTAGCGGTTTTTTCTTGAACCTTAATGGGTTAATATGCAAGTAACGATATAATAGTTTTACTTACTTCAAAGATGAATTAATTCTTCATTTTTAATAGTGTAAAACAATCAAGGAAACGTATATTAACGTACGGAATTATTTCACGATACGACTGACGCCATTTTATTACAAAACCTGTCTGAGTGGCCAGACTTTGTATATAGGGACTTTAGCGTTTCCCAACAACGCGACGCGGTTCGGAAGGCCTATATCAAAGGTTGCATTTTGCGTTAAACAAAAATAATCGTCCACAGTACACACAACAACTGAACATATGCGTGTGCGTGTACGTGGATGTACAACAGCGAACAACTGATTCTAACTTAATACGTTTACCTTAATATTGAAGCGAAAGTTTTTACAGCAGCATCCTGGCGAATTAATCCGCGCTTGGATTTAGCCGTAACGATAAATTCCGAGAAACTTTAGCATAAGCTACGACCGATGATGCAGAGCTGTTGCAACGGCAGTTAAATTACACAAGCAAGCATTTTTATTAGCGTAATATCAACTTGCTCTATTATTAATACAAGAGGAAGTCACGGGATACGTCTCGTTTAATCTCTCGCTAAGAGAAACGATCGTTAGTATTTATGAAAAATTCGCCGGTCCTACATTATGCATGCCGTGGAAAACGTATGGCTGTTCTCAGAACTCTCAGGTTCCAGCGGGCTCAATAATTACACGGAGAACCTCCTGACTTTTACGACAGGTTTGGATATCGTGTGGGATAATGCAGAACAAGACGCAACATTGATTTTAACGAATTCCCGACTCTATAATGGTCCAAGAGCATCTCTTCGTATCAGGTTGCTCATTGTAGATGATTGTCGCATTGTGAATAAATACTGGAACGATGTCGTCGCCGATCCCCATTCGAGGATAGTCAGTATCTCGCGAAAAGGATCAGGAGAATGACGGTGAGATTCGCGAACAAAGTCGATTTTTGCGTTGCTTTTTCTGGAAAATAGCTCGAAAAGTATCCGACTTATTGTTCCATCGAGTATAATTGATCTCGTCACTAATTGTCACTAACGCATTAACGAATCGCACTCATCGCATCGTCATTGCTCCCGACGGCTCGTTAAGATGGTAGTTTTCTGCGAACACTTTTCATATGTCATGAGGATGCGTTTGGCGGAAAAAGTGGCGAGCAAATAACAGAGAGAAGTAAAATATTCGTTTCGTTCCATGTTTATCGTGCAATTTTTTTTAATATCAAGCGCGCCGTCATTCCGTAAGGTGCGAATCTACGTTGCGGAACACGTTGATAAATATCTCGTCTGGGATTTGGGCTGCAGAGTTTTGAACAAACAAATTGTTCCTTTGAACCGACGCAATTTTGGATGGCAAGTCAAAAACGATCGAGCAAACGTAATTCTATTTGCACAGTGCATGTTTGCACTTCTCTCGCGCGTGAATAACATGCGCGTGCACTCTCCCGAAACAGAAATAAAGCAAGACAGAACACACGCACATAACACATCGCTGTTTTTCTCAATTTTATCTAGAGAAACTGGTTAAAATCGGGGATTTGTGTCTGATCTAGCAGCAGCTCGCTGTACGGAAATAATTATAGCGTATGTGCGCAGTGTTCTTTACAAATATTGAACGAGTGGATTATTAATCAGAGATGTAAAAGATGACAAAGTTTATTAATAACTGTAATCGAATGCGTCGAATATTGCGATATTGCGATATTGCGACCTACGTTTCTAAGAATATTCATCCATTATATTATTCTCGATTTCCTCGTGATTTACTGTGTCTTATCTAGTTGGATAAGAATCAACGAAATTTTCAGGTAAAATTCCTTTTCATGAATTAATTATACCGCTGCGTCGGCGAAAAGATAAAAAAGCAATATCGACTGCTGCCACTTCATTCACCGATAACACGTTTCTCTTCCTACGAAATGTAATCCGCTCGCTAAATCTTAATCTGTATGACAAAAAGTGTTACTACTTTGAGATATTTAATCTATTATTTTATAGAGCGAACAAGTAATACAAAAGGCAAGAACTTTGATCAATAATTTCGTAAATAAAGATCTATTCGAACACTAATATTAATGGACTTAGGACATGTGCAATTGGAAGATAACAATTCGCAGAATCTCTCATATGCTATTGTCGTAACGACTTTTATTTCGCGAAACATTCGATAAGGCCAACAGTGACAGTTCTTATCGAACGATGACGATATATCAAAGAGATAATCAAATATTATCTGGAAGATTATTTAATTCCGAGTTCTTAGAGAGAGTGCAGAATCATCGGATTTTTTCGACACAAGAAAAATATTGTCTATATATGAATTTTATTCCGAGAAAGTTTTTCGAGTGTTGGCAGATGTCATTTTATGCATTTTGACTATATTCTCTGACATAAGACTCGTAATAACGCCTGAGTTATAATTAATCGTTCAAGTGTAGCAATAATCGCTGAGACCTGTTAGTCGCACGGCACATTTCGAATATTTAAATTGCACTTTTTCCATTTTACCGACTCAAGACTACCGTACTCTTTGCTGCCGAGTATAGGCGGGATTACGCGCTCGCGCATCATCGATGCAATCTTGAAGCGCTTCAACTTCCGCGGGGCAAATTTGCATGAGAGAAAATCACGCGGACGTAGCCCGCCGTTTTATCCCCACAAAGGCCGGGATAAGCCAGATGAACTTGCCAAGTTTGAGGTTTGCTTCTCAGCGGGGCAACATATCAGGATTGTCACGGAGGTATCCACCTGGTAGGTGCCTGGAACTTTAAGCTCGCCATCGAGTATAATGGCGTTCGAGCTTCTTCATTATGCAGGCCAATCACGATTGCAACTTCCTTCAAGTCGTCCGCCGTGTCAGCCTTTCAATTATACATATAGCTCCCCATTCACCGGGGTCTACGGTGTACCCCTGCTAGTTATGGCTGAATACTCTGCACTTCCTCATAGCATCAAGAAGATCGATCATATCTTTCAGTGCTTCCGAAAAATCGAGTTTCACTCGATCAGAAAGTACACCGAAGTAATGATAAATTGTTCGCGACTGGAAATAACACAAGATGACAATGTAGATTGTTTACCTGCGATTATACGAAATGAGAGAATGAAATTATCAGGTCTGTGATAATTTCGTAATCTCTGTTAATATCAGACGGATTTATCAAAGTTTCAACAACAAGTTACCTTCACTGTCAGGATAATCTTCTCGTAATAACATAGAATGCGAAGGCGCTTGGAATTTTGTTTCAAATAATGTCATGTATACGAGATGATTTTTCCACGGGAGAGTTTCTCTCATAAACAGGTTTGTAAGGAACTCATGTGCAGACCTATGGCCAAACTTAGGACATCGCTTAGGCTTCCAATATCAAGGTGTATAGAACGTGGGTAAACCCTGACGCAGCCTAGAGGCAAGACATGTAGCCTGCGGCAATTACATGCAAATCCCAGCAAGTTGTGCCTAAAACCTCAACACTGTCATCAACCGGCAGCCAATGTCGACCAACCGCGCGTGAAGCGTCTAATTTAACGTAGGGATAAAAAGTTCGAATATCAAAGCGAAGATATCGAATCACGCGGATTAATGTTGGAATTACCAAAGTGATCAAAATGATCGAATTTCTCATAACAATTACTCAAATTTATAATGGTGCATTTTAGATTTTCAATTGGTGTTAAATAAAGATCACCGACCATTTTTCTTCTGCATTACATGTTTGTTCAAAAATCTGTCATTTTTATCGCTCTGATAGAAATGAATCATCAATAGTTTTAGTATTAATTGAGTATTGTCTGCAGTAAAGTAAGTAAGAACAGAAATTTCCTCGTGATAATTAAAGAAGATTAAAGAAGTTTAAAGATTAAATTCTTACGGACGTCTTTCGTTTAACGTGTAGACATTTGTAGAATACAGATAAAGATATTTTTATGTTTTATAAGTCTCTTAGATAATATGTGAGCGAGTCGCATTCTGCAAATAGATGTCGTGCCTCAACGCGCTCTTCTTTCACAGATATTCACTATCGTCATTGCCCTGAATGCACAACAAATATTGTCTCGTTAGGTGTTTGGTAGAAATTAAAGCTGAGAGTTGATCACAGCCATTTAATTGATCATTAATAACGAATGGAGCATAAGGACTTTGTAGAAATCACCAAAATTTCGTAGAGCTATTATTCTGAACATTAAAGTGACAAAAGCAGGCCTAGACAATTATTGTACGTAGCGTCTCGTTCTATATTTCGGTAAACAATTATTAGACAGAGATCAGCATGAGACAGACTCGATCTTAACTGTACACGTATCGTAGTATTAATCAATCAGGATATGAGTCACACTTAAAAACAAAATTCCAGTCGTGTAAATCGGCCTTCGTAAGGATCAGAGAGTGACAATCAATGCTTGAGACTCCATATGAGTGAAGATGGCGTATGAACTTTTCCAACTTCATTAAGTCGTGCAAGAAGATTGGATAATCTCATTACTGATACTTATGCAAACGCTACTTGCTACATGATCATATTTCGCGACACACACGCACTTTCCACATACCTTGTGGAGTGAACGGTGCACAACTTTGTCCCAAAACGATCAAGAATTTCGGAGAACTTGGAGACGTGGACGAAGGACTCAATGAAGTTTCGCGGATCGATGGCCTTGAATCGCTGTCAGACGGTCCGGCGAAACGATGAACGCAGGAAATATTACACGGATCGTTTGTCAGGAAAACTGTGGAAATGCGAACGTGTATATTTTACGAACACTCTTTACTTAATCGCTTTATTTGAGTCGAGTGCATATTGTCGGCCGTTTCTTGCGTAAGTCTGCTAATCGTATCGCTCACGTACAACAAGATCTCACAAAACAGATAGAGCTATCTGGCACATGATAATAATCTATACTGGCGAGCGATCGTGTGTGCTGGGATCGCTCATGGAAAATTAATTACATTGACTAAAGTCAGTGTTTTTTAATTATATGAAATAATTATTGTTTCAATAATTCGCTCGAATCGTTCCTGACATATTCGTTGTGGTTTAATCACATGCAATCAGAGATAAAACACACTTTCTTTTTCGTCACGTTTAACGAAATTCCGAAGAAAACTATCTCTATACAAGCGTTTCAATAACATTACACACTATAACGCGATAAAACTTCCATATTGAAGTTAAATAACATTTCGCGGTTTCGACAATGAGTCATAACGCTTATTCATTCTGATAATATCCTGCATGATTCAATCGATTTTTATATCTGTCGACATAAATATATTATAGATGATGGCAAAAATAATTAATAAAAAAATTCTAGTACACACGAATATTTTTATGTAATCGCATAATATATATTTTACAGGGATATATCTTGTGCAAAAATACAAAAATCTGTGTTTCTCCCTTTCGATGAATGCTCGAACCTACAATCGTTGCATCGCGTGTCGTGTTGAAAAATTCAAACATCTGCACACATTATACGTCCTACATATCATATGTATCGTGTTACTAGAAAAGTTTCTCCTAAAAAGTGCAATTTATCCGTAGCTTTTCGGAATTGATAAGTTGTTTAATACAGCAATTTTCGGTATCTAATCATAACTTAAAAAAGAGAAAAATGAGGAAGGGAAGGACACGTTGGACGCGTTAAATGAATGTATCCGTTCCTAGTTAACACGAAGTTCCACTTAAACGGCCTCAGTTCACAATACGAAAAATCAAGAATTCGTGATAATCGGTTTCGTAAACCAATTCGCGGTGTAGGACGTCGGGGGTATCGCTTGCTCGCTCTCACTTACTTACTTCTAATATTACTCGGTACGTTCTGTCAGATATCTACGATAAAAAATGAAATCTCGGTGGATTTGGCGATATCAAGCCTAGCATCGATTGGCTGGATACCATTGTATCGTGGTTATCGAACGTTATCAGCTCTGTCGATGTTAAAACGGTCGGGGAAATTTTGCGAGTCGCCATCGGAACAGACCATTTACCAATCATCCCTCGAAGAGTATAGTACCTTCTTAACCGAGAGACTGGTCGTGATAAGATTAGAGGAGACAGCGACATATTTTTCACGATACGTCGTACCGACGCTGCCTTATAAGGCACGGGATCTTAGCTGGGCAGGCTTTCAATAAATCTTGCCTCCGCGGGGAACGAGGCAACCTGTTCGGCTCTTCACCTCCGATTAGCTCCAAGGTACGTTATCAGAACTATCGATCGCGTTAAAGCCGAGTTTGTGCAGAATTTTAAAAAAGCTTCGTCGCCTGCATACAGAATTTTCGAAATAATCTCGTTACAAGAAGATATATTCAAAGTTTTCGGCGTGTACCTTCAACTGCTACTCATCGGGGCTGTTTTGACATTTATCGATTTTTCAACAGATGCTCAATAATTCGATTACAGTTTGAAAGAACAATTAGAATGTATGATTGATTTTGAGAAAAATTATATGCGTATTGTTAGGTACACATCGTGAAACATAAGCGAAACTATTCAAGGGAGAATTCGATTTATTTTCGTGCAGGTTAATCGTTATTGAAACTGTGTCTCCTTCATAGCGTAATTTATTAAATCTGACATAATTTTTCTGAATTTATTGTGTCATTGTTCATAATTTATTTGAAACAAAAACGGAATAACCGTTAAATTATAAGATTTATGATTATTACCTTTACATTGATTAGAACATTTTTTTTTTTTTGTACAATCAGTGATTACTTGTATAGAGTTTTCCTAAAACTTACGTTTCCTCAGATTACTCATGTAAAAATATCATGAAGTTCAGTGTACTTTTGCGACTGCTCATAATTATATGTTACTTTTATTACATAACAGGAACAGTAAAGGAGATTGGTGTTCGCACAAAATTTTTCTTCCGCTCACAGCAGGAGCTACAATGTCGATCATGAGATTCCTGCTACCACTGGTACTTGTCTTGGCGACCTGTTGGGCACGTGATCCTATTTTCGAGGAAGTACAACCAGTAATCTTCGATTATACTCAAGAGATCGACTATAAATTGCCTCCTTCTGGTGTACGACCTACTAACTATGAGATCACTTTGCAACCATATTTCGATGTTAAAGGAAAAGAGTTTAGTTTCGATGGAAACGTTAATATTACTCTCGATCGAGAGGAGTTGGAGACAAAAGCTATAACATTACATTACGCCGCGAATCTAACGAATATTGAAGCGGTTTTGCAATATTACTCGACTGTGGAAATAGCACCCTTGGAAGATAATGAATTGCAAATAAACACAACAATCAAAAGAATAAAGCCAACTAATATAACCTATGAATCACATACAAATTTCATAACACTCAATTTTGAAGATAATATTCCTTTGCCTAGCGTGGCTGAAAATTTTACTTTAGCTTTGAGTTACACTGGAACCTTGATACACGATGATCTATATGGATTTTATAGAAGTTCTTACGGAGAAGGGGATGATGAAGAGTAAGTAGATAACTATGTTTCCATTAAAATTTTTTTCGATAAAGAGATTTAGTCAAGGATAGAGTTTATGCAGGAGATACATCTTTATATTATCCATCTACAATAATTTCAGACAAATCTTGCAACGTCAGTTTTAGCTGGAACAGTCAAATCGATTGTTTAAAAGAGTTGTCACTGAGCAAGTTTAAATAAATTGTAAAAGTTTTTTTATAGTAAAAATTGTTGATCTTGCTTTTTATATAAATTTTCTAAGAACTTTCGTGAAATGAGAGCAACTGTCATCACGTTTTTAACATGATAGACATAATACTACTTGGTATAATAGTGTATTAATTAATGTTTATTGAAATCATCGAAATTATCGAAAACATACAGTTTTAATTGCCGCAACCGCCGAAAATAGAAAATCCCTCACGATAATACAATCTTGTCCATTACAGATGGCTTGCAACAACCCAGTTCGAGCCTATATACGCAAGAAGAGCCTTTCCTTGCTGGGACGAACCGGACATAAAAGCAACATTTGACATCATTATTAAACACCCATCGGATTATACGGCAATCTCGAATATGGGGGAAAAACCGAAGAAAAAAGATACAAAGAAGAAGGGAACACAAGACAATAATGACATAGTAGAAACGCGATTCGAAACGACACCAAAAATGTCCACCTACCTCGTGGCATTTGTAATTTCAAAATTCAATGATAACTCAAATAGTGATAAAGATTTTACTATATGGACGAAACCCGGTGACGAAGACAGCACAGAATTTGCCTTGGATAATGGACAAGAAATATTAGTGGAATTGGAGTCTTATACCAATATTAAATACTACACATCTTTGAAGCCAAACGAAAATTCAATGCATATGTCGAAGATGGATCAAGTTAGCATCCCCCAATTTCCGGCAGGTGCTATGGAGAATTGGGGTCTGGTGACGTACAGGTAATGCCTGCAAAATGTCGGATTCGTGGAATGATCAAGGTTCAAGCATCAACACACATCTCGACTCTTATCGCGATTGTTACATAGTCCGAGGCTACTTCGCACATTTGAAACTGCAACACATATTGTTATCAAGAATACTCGCGCAATTCATTTGATAGATAGTCAATCTTATATGATACATAAAAATTCTCTTCATCTTCACCTACCGTAAGTTCGTAAATCACCGTATCGGTTATCACTTCTCCTTGGTAGTTTACAAGCTCAATTTACGTGTGACACTCATTATCGTTGAATACAATGATCTTATTGGTGTTTTTAACAATAATTTTTAAGGGAACCTCTTCTTCTCTCCATGGAAAATGTTACATCCACGCGAGGCATACAAGATACAATGACAGTGATAGCTCATGAGTTTGCTCATCAATGGTTTGGCAACTTGGTGACTCCCAAGTGGTGGAACCACATCTGGCTGAGCGAAGGCTTTGCCACATTTTTCCAATATTTCATCCCCGACAATATACAAGTAATTATGAAAATACGTACCACTAAATACCGATCAATTGATACTTGCGGTAAATAATACGAAGTTTACGTACATAAAATACATAATCCGTTTGAAAACATGAGTTTCCATTTAACAAAATTTTAAAAGTCATTTGTGTGTGTGTGGGTGTGTGTTGCACGCGCGTACTTGTCTTCTGTGTTTAATTATAGCTAAAATTTATATCAGAAACATTTTTCTGAATATATCGTGTCTAAATATATTAATTAAAGAAAGAAAGAACATACCTAAAATATGAACAAATTTATATTAATAACAGACACGACGGATATTAGCATGAATATTGTGATTGTTTTGCTTTACCGTGAATCGAAATTCGCCAAGTTTTGAGGAGAATTATGTCGGTATTAAAAGAAAAAGTAAATAACACAATCTTTAATGCCACCTTAAAGTTGTAACAAATAATAGAAACGTCAATCAAAGTTAATGTTAATTTACAGAAGATATCAAGGTTAATGTTAATTTCTCATAGGGCGAGGAGTGGCGTCTTATGGACCAATTTGTCATCAAGGTTATGCAAGGGTCTGCATTTGTCACCGACGCAAGTGCCGTGACTCATAGTTTGGATCAAGACGCGCCGTCTCCTGAACAAATTCTACACTTGTTCGACAATATCGCCTATAAAAAAGGTATGTCAGTCCCTTTGTTGCCTAAGTCGACGTGAGAGAAATCGATAATCGTCATGCTAACGTACTACTTTATTTTTTTTTGTAGGCGCTTGTGTTATTCGCATGATGCAACATGTCCTGACGGAAACCCATTTCCAAAATGCACTCAAACAATATCTCAAAAATAAGTAAGTCATACATTACTATTATTCGCAACGTACCTATGCAAAAATCTATTTTCCTAAAATAATAACACATGCTATTATTATTATAATAATAATAGCACATTTGTTTCACAACAAAATTCTATTTTTACATAATTAATAATTCTTGAATGTAAATGCTTATCAATAGTGACTTGCATATAACATGATAAATAATTATATTTATATTAATTCATAATTGCAGCATGCACGAATCTGTTTCACCTAAAGAACTGTACAAAGCCATGCAGGATGAAATTGATAAAAATACAAAACCAAAAATTGAAACACCAGTGGAAATTGAAATCATTACAAACTCTTGGGTAACCCAACCGGGATATCCTGTTATTACAGTAAAAATAAATAACAAAACTGGTGATGCGACAATAACCCAGCAACGATTCTTCCTGTCGGGACCCTCGTCGGTAGATAAAACCAAATGGTACATACCAATTAACTATGTCACGCAAGAAGACCCCGCAATCAAGGATACGGCAACCAAGGCAAAGGCGTGGTTGGAATCGACAAAATCATCGACTTCTATAAAAAAAGTCGTGAAAGATAAAGATAAATGGGTGATTTTCAACAATCTTCAAACAGGTATGCCCACTTTATAGCGTTGTTATGCAATCTTTACTGTCAATGTAATGTCAGTGGCATTAATCGAGTTAACTGTTACATCTCGGATCCACTTTATAAGTAATGAGCAGTACGTCGAAAATTTTTGCTCATCGCGTTTTGAGATAAATAGATTTTACACACATTTCATGTATTACAGAGACATTCTCGAATTGTATACACTGAGTCACGCATTCAACACGTAGTTTCTTGATCTGTATTAATGTTCCACGCACGTGTACACATGAGGCAAAACTGCACGAATAGTTTATACTCGAAAAATTCACGATGGTTTACACCGTTTTTGCAACCATGGGACATATATGCAAACGCGACTTCACCACTAACTCAATTGCAATAGAATGCCAGCTAAGAATATCGACCGATACTCTTTTCCAGGATATTACCGCGTGAATTATGAAGAGTCTAATTGGAATTATTTGGCGGCATACTTGAACACGGATAACTACAATAACATCCACCCGGTCTCTCGCGCCCAGCTGATCGACGATTCGATGAATCTCGCGCGCGCAGGATACTTGTCGTATACTAGCGCGTTGCCGATTACCAATTACCTTCACAGGGAAACCGACTACATCCCATGGTACGCGGCTTTCAGAGCTTTCGATTACTTGGATCGCAATTTACAAGGCATGAAGAACTATGAAAATTTGCAGGTAAGTCGAAAACGAGAGAAGTGTGTGTACGCACCAAAGTCGCATTCGTTATTGTGTTACTACTCAGTAAACACTAACATTATATCGATATCATAATTTCCCACTCAACAATGTAACTGTTACATAACGCGTGTGTTATATTACATTTACATTGCTGAATAGAAAATTATAAAATTGATATTATGCTACTGACAGCTGGTGTTTACTCAACATGTAATAATGACAATACAACTGTGCGAGTTTGAGATCTGATTCTAAGATTTCTCGATGCTTCTTTCAGAATTATATTGTTCAAAAGCTGAATGCATATGCGAATATGGTCGAGTTCACGGACACGCCGAAAAACACCACGTATTTCTATCAACTCGGCAGAGAATTGGCGCTTGAAATGTCTTGTACATACGGATTCGAAGAATGCTTGAAATACACGCAGCAAAGGCTCAGTACGTGGCTCAGCGACAACAAGAACGAGTAAGTCGTTTCGCAAACTCGTCGTTATTAAATGAATCCATTAATTACGTACCATTATTTAGTGTTAACGACACTAAGCTCACCGAAAGTAACACTAAGATTCACGACATTGCTCGACGAAATTGTCCCAGAAAAAAAAACAAAAAAGACAAAAAATCTGACTGCATGCTTGCCGTAGATTGCCCGTAGACTTGCAATACGGAATACTTTGCGCCGGAGTACGACAAGCGGACCAAAAGACATGGAACACGACTCTGGAGAAGTACAAGAACAGCACAGATCCCAATGAGAAAGTGATGATCTGGAACGCTCTTGGTTGCGCTCAACATAAGGAAGTCATACAGACCTTCCTCGAGGTATCGCTCCAGGATAAGATCGAAGACATCGATATTTTCGACACAATAAACATAATTGCCACAAATAACTATAAGTCCTTCGACGTAGTCATGGACTTCATATTTGAAAATATCGAGGAGATTTATGAGAAGTAAGTTCATAAGACAGCTCTTTCCTTTATTTTGCGACGCTACGGCGGACAAGTCACAAGATTATGTGTTTTCTCACAGGGACAACGACACGTTGAAGCTTACCGCAAATGTCAACCAACTCTCTTCTCAGATCATTAACAACGAACAGTACGGCAAGGTAAGATATAGCTAATCTATCGTACCTTCGAAAAACACGATCGAAACTAGATCGTGAATATCCGACCTCTCAATTAGATTCAACCGTATAGATGCAATTTTCAACGTTGTGCATAATAGTGCTCATTCAATACTAAGCATATATCACGAGCATCGACATATTCGGGACGTATTTCCAGTTTTACTTTGTCTTCAAACACTTTCTTTTTTTTCCTCAATCAACTCCGCGATCGAACGCCATATGTAGATAACCGGGACACGATAACATATCTTTTTGTGTGACAAAGTTTCAGTAATTAGAAACGCCGTTTCTATCTCGTCCTTGATCGCGCTTTTATCTTATCTGAAAGTGGATTGATTAGATGTGTCGCAATCTCACGTGGCACAAAACATTGGATCTCGTAAATGTAGTGAACTCTTTCATCATCAACTAAATGCGCCGTAATTTTAAATATACTATAACACTCCGATCTCTCTCTCTCTCTCTCTCTCTCTCTCTCTCTCTCTTTCATCGGTAATATCAACGACAATGACTGATATGGGAATTTTCACGTTTCAGATGTTGCTTCTCGCAATACGGGGACATATTCAGGTTGATCACAATTTTCCGGGATGGTTCAAAGGAAAAGAGAATCTTGACTGGATCGAGAGGAACCAACAGGTGATTTCTAAATGGGTGGAAGAAAATTACCACCCACCCAAAGGTGGAAATGGGAACTCCGCAACTTCCATCACTTCGATGTCGTTCCTCATGGTGATCTCAGTACTGATCGCACGATTCTATTAAAAACATCAAGTAATACACCTCGCGGCAGGCACGCTCACGCGCGCAATTCCTCTGTCGCGCTGCAAAACCTTCGACCGACCGATCGAGTTGAACCCATCGAACTTTCACGATCTCACCGGCGTTCTCGGCCTCACCAAGAACGATTTGGCTGCAGAGACATACGTCACACGTGGCGTCGACGTCGAGAGCGAAATTGGAATTTCTCGCGGGTGTATCACACCTTACCAATCTTACATCAGTCGCGATTTCAAGTTGTGGCTCGATGCACACGTGGCAAAATTTAGAGGAAATTAAAGACGTCCTCGGATGAACGTCGTCCGAAACGTCACGACATATTCGCCGACGAGTCACGGCTCGGAAATCAGGTCCATTTTGCACACCGTAGGATTGACAAAATTAATGCCGTATAATTATAGTTACAAATTTTAATACATATAATATATAATTATGTGATTATGTACAATACGATTGTAAATACATGCTATTTATACCACCTACACGATAGCTCACTTAATATATATAGATATTTATAACAAAAGTATGTATTATACCTTAACACTTATTGTCGAGTTTTGATTGAGACACCATCGTGTTGTGATGTTTGCGTCCATTTTTATAGGAGGAACATCGCTCGCTACAATCAATTGATTCCTTCCTCTACAAGGTATTCTACAAATATTCTACAAGTTCGTTGTAGTTTGCCTTGTAAAATGTATTTAATAAAGCAGATTATTCTTTTCCATTAGCACGTGCAGATTTATAAATTCGACAAGAAACACACAATTAGACGCGTGTATTCCACTCGAGCAGTCCTTGAGAACGGTCGACTAAATGGAAAGAATGAAAACAAAGGCCGCAGTAGAGAAGTTTAGATCTTTTATGATAACCATTGTTATTTATCGTACACATTTCCGCGTAATTTGAAAGTATAAGCTACCTCTTTGATATAATGCAAGGCACAGGTTAATCGTATTAATTATTCGCCGTCGTAGGCACATTTGACATAATAATAAAGCAGGAGGGGGACATCGTCCGGAGTGTCCTTGACCGTCACATTGGACATTATGCGAAGTATAATGTTACATAAACTTATTGAATGACATAAATGGAAAACTGGGATCACTGCACGAGTGGAGACATTACATTGCAGAGTAGTGAAGCAGTATTTCTCTCTAGCAACTTCAACAAACCGCTGCGATTTCGTCGCGATCTTGTTACGGGAATTATTTGAGCAATCGTATAGAGGGGAAAGGTAATACTCATCGTATAACCCGGCTACAATGAGAGACTGATTATAACAGCGAGGTTTATCTCGTTAACATTTCGCCATGCTCTCCATAATTATCGTGAATTCAAATTCAAATATCGACATTATCAATACTCTCACCACGCGCAACGTCGTCAATTAGCGTTAGTTTCTAACACGAGATTTTCAAAACTCACCTGAATTTCAATTGAATAATATAAATCTAACGGAACAATAGAGAGAAAGATACACATCGCGAGGAGTCGGTCAGATTAAAATAATAAAACAGAGAATAAATTTATAACATATGTAAAATTTTCTCTCTTGGTTGAGAACTTATATTATTTTCGTTCGCTCCTGTTTCTCCTTTCGTTCGAAAATCGAGATTAGATTAGTTATGGAGAAAGGAAAGATGGAAAATACTTAACTTAGTTTTACCATTAAAGTGTAAAAATTCAACGACCATAAAGTACTAGCTGTTGAAAGTACTAGCTTGTTTTGAGACTATCAAAGATGACAAAAATTCGATGCCAATATTTGCTATATTTTGAAATTCATTAATTTACATTTGTGCAGAAATACACACACACACCTGCGATTCAGATTTTCGTCAACACCGTGATCGATAAAATCATAATGGCTGCACAAAATTAACACTGCTCGTTTACAACTTTTGTCCTTTGACAGCGATGGCAATAATATCAGAATACATAGGCACTTTTTGCATGAGCTTTTCTTCTCTCTCTTTTCTTCAGCAAGGACATGTTCGTGCAAACTGGTCAGATTTGAATTGGCATGGCATTCCTGAGACCACTGGTGACGATCGGGTTAACAATTATCGTCGCTGTTGCACTTCCCCTTGACGATGATTCGGGAAACGACTCGCAGACCGCGGTTAATTACCGTTTGCCGGACAACGTGGTGCCTACACACTATGACATCAAGTTAATACTGCAACATAACTTCACTTCATTTGACGGCGAAACGAGTATCGACGTCGTGATTCGTCGCGTGACGCGTGACTTACGTTTGCACGCGCTGGAATTGACAATAAACGAGGAAGCGACGTCGTTGGTCAACAGCGAAGGCGTCGTCTACAAACCGAAAGTGCACAATTACGACAACGTAATAGAAATCTTGGATCTCAATTTTGACGACGAACTACCGCCCGAACATTACACTCTAAACACAAAGTTTGTCGGTATTCTGAACAGCGACATGGAAGGCTTCTTTAAAACGTCGTACGTAAACGAGAATAATGACACAGTGTGAGTAATTGTTGTAGTTTGAGGATTTTCTTCCTATAATTGTGCGTTACATATATATTATTTTATATATGTCTCTCATTTGCATCTAATTCTAAAGTTGAATTTTTTCAACAATGCTTTTCTTTTATCTACCAAGAAAATTGTAGTTTGAATGGACATTTTTTTCCACGCAATTTATCAAACAGGTTAGAAACAAATATTTAATGCCAAAAAGAGACTGGCTAAAAAATAGATTTTTTAAGATAGCTCTATACAGATAAATGTGTCCAATTTTTTATCTCAATAGAATCGAGGTAACAAACATTTCCGAGAGGGAATGGTGCGCGTACACCCGCAAAATTTCGTTAGCTTCAAAGCGTCGAGTGACGCATGTCGCGACCAGGCTGCGAAATATCACGTTATCATCGTTCGACCGTCCATAATCCGCATTCGCTCGTTTCCCAAGCCCTAATACCTCGCTCGTTCTAACGACCAGTCGAAAATCTGCCATTATCGGAAGTGTGTCGTTGAAATGTGGTAGGTTGCTGGCCGTAACGCATTTTGAGCCGACCTCGGCGCGTCAAACGTTCCCATGCTGGGATGAGCCGGCATTAAAAGCCACCTTCAACATTTCCATCAAGCACTATCCAACCTACACGGCTCTGTCAAATATGCCGGCGCTGGCAACCTCGGACGAAACCGATGAAGACGGCATGGTTTGGACGCACTTCGACACGACTCCTGTCATGTCCACTTATCTCGTGGCGTTTGTAGTGTCCGATTATGTACGGGTTTCTAACGCGGACGGGACTGTCAACGTGTGGACCACGTCGCAATTGGCACCGTACTCAAAATTCGCACAGCAGATTGCCCAGCGAAGTGAAGAACTGTTGACGCAGTACACCAATAGTACTCACAAGGTTCCAAAAATAGACCATGTAACATCTCCAGAATTCTCAGCAGGTGCCATGGAGAATTGGGGACTTATCATTTATACGTAATGCAGCGAATTATCAATAAATGTAAAATGAATATTCGTCACTGACATATATATGACGGCACTTACTGTTGCACGTATACACTTATCATATATACGCATACAGAGTATTTTACTTTCATATAATCTTCACATTTTATCTATTTTTAATCTTCATATATTTACGATTGTTATCACATTTTTTATTTTATATATAAGTGTTGAATAAGATTACATATACGTAACTACATTATTCGTGAATAATTTTTTAGTGAAAGTGAGTTTACGTATGATGAGAAACGAGATACCACGCGGCATAAACATAGAGTAGCGGTAGTAATGGCACACGAGATGGCTCATCAGTGGTTTGGTAATGTAGTCAGCCCATCATGGTGGACCTACTTATGGTTAAATGAAGGATTTGCGTCGTTTTTCGAGGCCTATATTCTCGATAAGGTTGATTCACTTCTCCGTCTTTACTTACACTATTGAAAAAATTACGATTGTTACGACAACGTTAAGACATATCGTGTCAATAATTAGAAGTATTAATTCTATTCCATTTCTAGACAAAGCACACTTTTGCTTTCATACTTTTAAGTCTTAAGCAGACTTTATTCAAAATGTTTGTTTTTATATGTTATTTCTGACGTTATTTTTAATTGAGTATTTAAGTAAATTCTGTCAAAAACGATTATTCTAGATGTTTGAAGATTGGCGAATGATGGATCTCTTTGTGATCGAAAAACAGCACAACGCCTATCATTTGGATATTGCGAAGCAAGTGATGCCCATTGCAGCAGAAGTCAATAGTCCCAAAGAAATTGATTCGCTTTTCGATACTTCCAGTTATGACAAAGGTACGATGAAGCAATTAAAACATGCTCATAAATTTGTAAACAACGTCTCACATATTACTCTTCTCTTTTTTCCTACGTACTAGTTAAGCTGTACGATATTGATTATTGCAGCCCCTGTTATATTGCGTATGTTGCAACATATCATGACCGACGAAGTGTTTAGGAACGGTCTCATTAGATATTTAAACACGCAGTAAGTTTAATGCATTTTTCTTTCTGTCTTGTAATAAGTACAAATATCTTCTACGCACACGTAGCTTGAAAATAAATGTACAGTATATAAATAATACTTACAAAATACATATGATATATAATAAACAGAAAAAGCGGCGGGTATAGAAAATATACTGAACATCTTATATGTAACATCAATGAAAATCTCTAACTGAATTTACAAACTACAATATGTTTCACAATTTAGCCAGTTCAGCTCGGCTACTTCTGACGATCTGTGGGACGCCTTACAAGCAGCCCTAGATGAATCGGACGTTCCGCACAATGACTATAAATTAAAAGATGTAATGGATACGTGGATAACGCAAAGGCATTATCCTGTGGTACGTGTAATGCGAAACTACGACACTGGCGAAGTGATATTGAAGCAGGAACATTTCCATCCTGATATCGAATATAATGAAGAGAATGCAGTCGACGAAGATAAATGGTGGATACCTATAACATTTACTACACAATCGAGTCCCGACTTCTCCAACACCGTGCCTACTTATTGGCTGAGACCGCAAGACAAAAATATAACAATTAGTGGAATTAACTCAAATGATTGGATTATGGTCAACCTACAACAGATGGGTGAGTATTGATCTACAATATCATAACCGTGGCAATTAAATAGCATATTTAAAACAATTATGTTATGTGCAACAACATATAAAATACACTTTATTTAATTAAGCACAGTTCTCAATAACGTCTTTCGTATATCTTGAAAGAAATACTCAAACGTATTACTAATAGATTTGAAAGTGGACAATCAAATAGAATTCCGATAAGATCAATTAATATCACGGCAGGATACTACCTCGTTAATTATGATGAGACAAATTGGAAAAAAATTGCGGAGTACCTCGATTCCGACGATTACACGAAGATACACGTACTTAATAGGGCTCAACTCATTAATGACGCATATCATCTGCTGCGGGCGAATCAAGTTAATCTCATCACGTTTCTGGATATAATAAATTACCTGGAGAAGGAAACAGAGTATATACCGTGGAGTACAATGTTCACTATTTTCTCCGTTGTGTCTAAAATTTTTGAAATACCAGGAAGTGAATCTCTCAAGGTAAACGACAATAAATTTTGGTAACATATTATATATTATATATATAGATGTATGCATATATATTCACACACACACAATCCTCTGTAAATTTGGAAACATAAAATGTTTGAAAATGTAAAAATGTAAAATGTAAAAATAAGAATATTAAAATGGATTTTTTATAATAATTCTCTTTCGCACTTATCTTTAAAAGATCGGCATTTATATTATTTAGCGAAGTTTCAACTTTAAGAATCCAATACTTTCTGTATTGCTGTGCAATGAAGTTTAATGGAATCATAAGCAACCGAAGTCAAAATGTCCAATTTTACTTTAACTCTTAGTAATACGGAAACACAGAATTGTAGAGAAATTTTTTGAGAAAGTAAATTGTATAGGAAACTTTAATATTTTACACAGAAGAAATTAAAATTTTCCAGATTTTGTTTTGCGTTCGTGGTATGTCTCAAATTGAAAAGAAAGTTTTCCATTTTGTCCATTTCGTTTGCATAAAAGTCAAATTAAACTAGCGATTGACGATTGCAGATTTTGATGAATCAACGAGCTTCAGCTTTAGCTTGCTTTGTTCGAATTTGTTAAGTTCCAATCATTAATCGTCAGTCGCTAATCGCTAGTGTAATTTAGTCTTTATGAAAACGAAATGGACAAAATGGAAAATTTTCTTCTTAATTTGAGACATGCCACAAATGCAAGAAAAAATCTGACAAAATTTTTAGTTCCCAAAAATTGAAGTTTTCTATATAATTTACTTTATAAAAACATTTCTCAACAATTTTGTGTTTTCGTATTACTAAGAGTTAACCTAACATTACATGGGCGAGTTTCGGCCTATACGCTGAATAGGAGCCATTGCGCATGCGCGAGAGTCCGAATGTTCTATTATGATGGATCTAACGTTATTGGGGCGATTTTGGGATATTGGAAAATTATTTTCAAGGGACTGGGTGTGCTACAGAGGCAGCAGAGTCCCGCAAAACCGCGTTGTCAC